GCAAAAAGTTGTGTGTGGACGGGCAGCAGGAGGGTTTCGCGCAGAACGAGCCAATTGAAAAAAGCATAGGTGCTCTGGTGGCTATTCTGTAAATAGCAATCAGAGCTTTCTTTTGAGAGTGTCTCCATGTGGTCTAGATGCTCTCTTGCGCAAGAAGTTTTGCAAAAAGCTTCTCACACAAGAAACCTGAAGTGTAGAAACAGCCTGGGAGCTGCTCAAGGTAAGCTCCTTCTGCCCCAGCCCTGACCCACCCCCAAAGCTGAGGCTGTCATCCTCAGCCCTACCCCAGGAGCCCACATTCCTGTAAAATCACATTGAGTCATGGACATAAACAATTTTCTTCAACTGGGCCATGAGAAAAGAAGTTTGAAAACCCCTGTTCTAGGGAACACATGCTGGAGCTCTCATGCTCCACTGGGAAAACAATACTTGAGGTTTCTAAAAATTATAGGTAACTTTCTAACCAACTTGAAATAATTCTATATTAGACCTTATTCTGACAACGTACATGAACTGATCACTGAAGTAAAATATCATTTCATTTGATATATTCAAACAAAATAGTTTTTATCTATATCCATATCTATTACTTTATATAATATAGGGCTGTCCAGTGATATATGTACTTAGTGCTTTAAAAAGGCTAATTTCCTAATGCTGGAAAAAATCATGAGCAAAACCAAGTCAGAGGAAATATGTAAATATAAAAATATGTGTGATAATAGGGAGTTATTTAAGAATGCTTTATTACATGCCCTTAAACTCACAATTCCATAATCACAAAGAAAGGCTTTTTAGCTTAAAAGTCCACCCCTTTTAAGGAGATGAAAGGAGTAATAATAACAAAAAAGTCAAACAGGTTGATCATAATAATCCCTTTTGGCCCTAAAAATCAATACATGCATTATTAGTGGTACTGTTACTACTATGATAGTCAATAAGTACCAACCAAGGATGGGGGTCCCATTGCACTAACAGCACCAGTTCTAATGAGCTTAAAATCTGTTCTAGTTGGAGAAGACAGATACACGATGGGGGAAAGGGCATAACACACAAGCTGCATGAACCATGTGATGGCAGCAAACACGTTAATTCCACAATTTTTTGTTTGTTTGCAGCTTTTTGAGTGAGTTAAGTTAGGAGGGGACAAGCTAAAATCAAAAGCAAGGATGAGGGAGAGGGAACACTGTAGGGAAGGGGCGAGGCAGGAGAAGAAGGTAGGATGGGCAGGTATAGAGTGATGCTAAGGTGAAGAGACATTGTGGGATGGAGAGGCTTGGAGCAAACAGTCAAGCCTAGAGAACTCAGAAAGTCCAGCCAGAACTAGAGAAAGTTTTCAGAATATCTACAGATCCCTGCTTTTTGCTACTTCTGCGGTTCCTACTGACTGGTCCCTCTCTCTCTATTATTCCCTCATGGCCACATGTCAGGCCGGTGGGGGCAGGAACAGAGAAGGCACTAGATTAATCTGTGTATTTCCACCATATTTATAATTAATGCTTGTATTTATATGAGGCCCATGATCTCAGGTATAATTTATGGGAGTCAGAACTGTATCTAATATTTTCTCCAAAAGATACTGAATAGATAACAATTAACAGTAAAAATGGAATAATGAAAACGTAATATAAAGCAACTAAAAGTGATGCAAGTAAATACTTTTTTTACGCAGTACAAAATGAAACTGTATCGTTCACTGCCATAAGATACTGAGTCCAGAAGTTTATGCTCAGTTTAATGAAGACAAGACTTTTTAGGCACAACACTGTGTTACCAACATATGACTTCGCCAGTGGTTTGGGAGGCTAATTTATAATCATCTGTCGTCTTCAACCACTGGTGTAGTGGCTCCTAAACACCTTCTTGACTCTATCATCCCAGATTCAGAAAGACCTTGAACTAAGTGGCTACGTCTACACTGGCATGAATTTCCGAAAATGCTTTTAATGGAAAAGTTTTCAGTTAAAAGCCTTTTTGGAAAAGCACGTCTAGATTGGCAGGATGCTTTTCCGCAAAAGCACTTTTTGTGGAAAAGCGTCCATGGCCAATCTAGACGCGGTTTTCCGCAAAAAAGTCCCGATCGCCATTTTCGCCATCAGGGCTTTTTTGCGGAAAACAATACTATGCTGTCTACACTGGCCCTTTCGCACAAAAGTCTTTTGGAAAAAGACTTTTGCCTGAATGGGAGCAGCATAGTATTTCTGGAAAAGCACCGATGATTTTACAGGAGATCGTCAGTGCTTTTCTGGAAATTCAAGCGGCCAGTGTAGACAGCTGGCAAGTTTTTCCGCAAAATCAGATGATTTTGTGGAAAAACTTGCCAGTCTAGACACAGCCAGGCTGTGTCTACACTGGGCCACTTATTCCAGAAAAGCAGGCGCTTTTCCAGAATAAACTGCGAGCTGTCTACACTGGCCCCTTGAATTTCCGGAAAAGCACTGACGATCTACTGTAAAATTGTCAGTGTTTTTCCAGAAAAACTATGCTGCTCCCGCTCGGGCAAAAGTCCTTTTCCGGAAAAACTGTTCCAGAAAAGGGCCAATGTAGACAGCCCAGTAGTCTTTTCCGCAAAAAAGCCCCGATCGCGAAAATGACGATCGGGGCTTTTTCCGGAAAAGCGCGTCTACATTGGCCACGGACGCTTTTCCGGAAAAAGGGCTTTTCCGAAAAAGCATCTTGCCAATGTAGACGCTCTTTTTCTGGAAATACTTATAATGGAAAACTGTTCCGTTTTAAGCATTTCCAGAAAAAGGTGCCAGTGTAGACGTAGCCCCAGTGTGTGGCTGGACAAGGAGGATGGCTAGAGGCAGCTGAAGCACCACTGTGAAATGGACTGATTCTGACATAAAGGTGGGGGGGGGGGGGGGGGGGGGAGGAGGCTTTTTTCACCAGCACCACAGCATGTATGACATTTTCAGAGTAACTTTGCCAAGTGGTTAACCCTGGCTCTGTGTACCCTGTGCCAGAGCTGAGAATTGGTCCGGCTGAGGGGTGTACCGATTATTTTTGGGAGAAGGTAGTACAGCTCCTGACTTTTTCCATGGAAATTAAATTTGATTTCTGGGGTAAAGTCCAAAGTTCTCTCTTCTCGAGATGCTCATTACCTGTGATGCTCACTGAGGATCTGAAAGATGCTTCTAGGTGTATCTGTGTGAAATCTTGCAGGGAGATGCTGAGGCAATAGGAGTACACACAGCACACACCTGGCATTTACAGCTATTCACGGAGGACAAAGAGATTTTTTTAAAAGGTATAAATATCAAATGCCAATTGGCACCACCATGTAGTGGTTGTCATTTGAAATGCACTTTAATAGACAGCTTCACCCACTTGCTGCCAATTGCTGTATCCTGCAACACTTTCCGAATGCTCTGCTTTAACCCCCACCTACTCCTTCCTTCCTAGCTCTCTCCTGCCCGGTGAGCATTGGTACCCACTATTCTGATCTGGTACCCTTTGCAAAGTCCTAGGGCTACTTTCCAGCACCTGCCAAATCCTCCAAAAGTGGAGCGATTGCCTTCTTTCCCATCATCTATTTGACAAATATCGCAACATTTCTGAACTCATTATTTTATGCATACTTTGTTTGTTATTCTCCTCGTTTACAGAATTGATGGAATAATTTGCAAATATATATTAATTCTGTGACATTTTTATGGACATATTTGGCAGCTCTGCCAGTAAATTTGCTTAAAGCAGAGAAACAGAAATCTCTGAGATTATGTCTACGCTGCAATTAAAAACCCATGGCTGGCCTATGCCAGTTGACTCAGGTTCACAGGGCTCAGACAAAAGGGCTGTTTAATGCAGCATATATGTTCAGGTTTGGGCTAGAATGTGGGCTCTAGGATCTTGAGAAGTGGAACGGTCTCCTTACATTCAGGGAAATAATTTGCCACGTAAAAATGCTGGAATAGTTTATTGGGGGGAGGGGGGCTTTTAAAACATAGTATCATTTTTGGAAATATATTTGTCATTAGAAAGTATTTGTTGAACATCACAGCCAAACCCACGGCAGCATCTGCAGCATTTGAAACAATGGGGCCAGCCCCGCCTCGGGAGGAGCAGAGGAATGTCAGGGGGCATGGGATGGCCAGGGCCAGTCTCCATGCAGAATGAGGAGGGAGCACCACTCAACTATGCTCTGGCCTCACCCCCAGCTGCTTCCCCAGCTCCTGGCTGTGGCTTTGCTCCTGGCCTCAGCCCTACCCACACTTGCAGCCCTGGCTTTGGCTCCTGGTCCCCACCCTCACCATGGTTCCAGCCCCAGTCTCGGCTCTCTTACCCCATCTGTGCACACATGCCCTGCTCCCAAAGCTGCGGCTCCACTCCCAACCCCCAGCCATGGCTCATGAGGAGCGGGGGCATGGAAAGGGGTAAAGAGCTGTATGATGTGAAAAGTTTGGGGCCCACTGGCCAAGTATGAGAGTGGGCAGAATACATGGTATCCTTGGCCTCTGTCTGTCAGAGGCTGGAGAGGGATGGCAGGAGACAAATCGCTTGATCATTGTCTTCGGTCCACCCTCTCTTGGGCACCTGGTGCTGGCCACTGTTGGCAGACAGGATACTAGATGGACCTTTGGTCTGACCCAGTACGGCCGTTCTTATGCTCTTATGTTCTTATCTATTGAGAATGTAAATTAGACCAAATTTTTCAGGTCCATTTTAAAGTTTTGTAAATTCACAAATACCAAGAGACTTGAATGTTAAAACAAAACAAACACTGAGTATTTGCAAACCAATCAGAAATTCTTTTCCTCCAGGAGAGATGAATCCTGAGGCTGATGGACAAAATTGCTCTAGCATTGCACAAGACACAGAAATTAACTGAGAAAGTGAATTCTAAAAAATGGTATTGCTTGCTTTTTTTTCTTCTCAGATTCCCCTTTCAGGTTGTCAAAGGCACCCTTTCTCAGGAGAGCAATGGAGGGAGCCTGGCCTGTTTGCTCTCTGTTCTATGGACATAGAGACAGGCACTCTATACAGAAAAGAAGACTTACCTGCCATGCCTCAACCTTCTTAATGTCTGCACATGACCCATTGGTAAAGAGGCCTTTTCCAGGGGTACAGGTGAATATATCCTGCAAAGCATGGGCAATGGAGTACACTGCCAAATACACATTATAAGATATCCGCAGGTGTGTGTAGTCCATGTATGGCGTCTCTACATTGGTGATGTTCTCCTCCCCTGTGCAAGGGGGCCGGAAGGCAGCTGTGCTATTTCCAACTCCACTTTCTTCTTCATGAACCTTGTGGATGGAGGCTGGAGCTGGTAGATTCTTGGACCCTTCTGGGAGGTAGCAGTTAAAAGTCTCCTCCCAAAACTCTTTGGTAAAGCCATTGTTGGTGGATTTCTTGGGATGCACTTTCTGCAGAAACTCACGAAAGCCTGGGATCTGTCCTGCCTTCAGTGCAAACCCAATGGTACCGCCAATAACATGGAAGAACTCTGGCATAGCTATCAGGGAAGAGCTGGCCCAAGCCTCGCTTGCCAGCCAGATCCTGCCAGTTATGTTACGCTTGACTATCTCCTTGATGAGGGGTTCCAAGTCTGGTCCACTGGAGAAGACAACAATCACTTTAGCAGTGGAGTTCTGGATGACCTCCACCACTTGCTGGATTTCCTCCTCAACTGAGTACTGGGAGATGAGCTCACTGAAATCAATGCAGATGTCCCTTTCCTCTGCCTCCTCCCGGAACTTCTCAATCCCTGGCCTCCCATAGTCATCATCAGCTGCAATCGTTCCCACCCAGTTCCAGCGAAAGTACTCAATGATATCTGCCATCGCAGTGGCCTGGTGCTCATCATTGGGGATGGTACGGAGGAAAGACTTGAACTGGTTTTTGTTGCTCAAAAGTCGGCTGGACGAGGCATAACTGACCTGTAGGAGGACAAGGAGCAATCAGTATGGCTCGTTAAGTTAGCTGTGTCGAGATACATTGTCTAATCTTATTTATTGTCATCATCTAGAATCACAGAACACTAGAACTGGAAGGAACCTTGAGAGGTCATCAAGTCCAGTCCCCTGCCCTCACGGCAGCACCCAGCACTCTAGATCCTTGAGAGATGTCTGTCCCACCTGCTCTTAACAATCTCCAGTGATGGTGATTCCACCACCTCCCCAGGCACGGATGTGTGGTCTCAGATGGCGGTGCTCAGCCCACCACTGGCACTTGGGAATTTACAGTGCCTGAATTACATTTTCAGTTGGAAACTGAAATTGGTGCATGTTCTTGTGGTTACAAATGACTCGCAGAAACAGGTGCAGTCAAGATGCCCCAGGGCTAGGTAAGCGGGCCAGACATCCAGTGGGTCAGAGATGTGGGGAAATAAGTCAGAAACATGTAGCATGCATTCTGGGGGAAATGGTGTGTGCCACCGGTGGATCACACAAGCAAGGCTCTGCACTTCTTGCCAAATCTGGAAAATCAAGAACATGTCCTTAGAGGAAACTCAGAATGTATAAATCAAGTCAGATAAAACACAAACTGTTCCTCTCCAAATGTGCCACTGACAGACTTTCATTATCACGCCAACCTCTACTACACCATTGGCTGCCTGAAGTCTTTCCCCTCTCACTGCCCTCCTTGCATCCCATTACACAGACTTAATCAGGAGCTCGCCGATCTCCATGCAAGATCACTGCCAACTATAATTTCCGTCTAAGAGCCACCTTATAACTTTTAGCCCCGTAGTGAGAGCACTGTTTTGTGCGGAGGGAGGCAGATGACTAATGTCTGTGATTCTAAGAGAGGGGTGCCTTGCTGTGAATCACACAGAGAGGAACACACCTTTCTATGAAAGGGGCAGGCCTTAGAATTCTCCTTGGCTAGTGCAGGAAGCTCCCACCTAACTTGCTAGCTTTTGTGGGATCCCATTGGAAGATGCCTGTTTCTCCCCACTCATTGCATAGTGAGCCTAGGTGCCTAACTTGACACTGTGGATCACAGCATTGTCCTGTGATTTTCTAGCAGTGTTATTGCTTTCACAGAAGCCAATAGGTTAAAAAAATGCCTTATGCTTAGTGCAGCGGGGACCCCTACAGGAGCCCAGCTTGAGTGATGTCCCAGTGGCACATATCTCTGTCCATTTCCCCCAGTCTGCCAGCAGCATCTGAGAGCCACAGGGCTGCCTGCTGATAGGTGACCAGCCCTGAGACAGAAAATGTCACAGTAATCTCTGGCAGTCACAGGATCTATGCCCGCCATGATACAAATGTACCTCTACCCATAGCCCAGTGGCTCAGGCACTTTCCTAACATGTGGGAGACTCACATTCAAATCCTTTCCTCTCATCAGGCGGAGGATGGGAGGAAAGGGGGAGGGGATCAAAGCCACATCTCCCACATCCCCTAGCAGTGCCCTAAAAGTTACAAAGAGGGCGCCTCCTGCTCCTCCATTCATCTTGCTTCTGTTAAAACACCCAACACTAAAACCAAAACATTTGAGTCGGGTTGAAACAAAATATTTTGTTTGGACTCTGTGTGAATTTTTCCTGTGTTTTCCAAGAGCCCAAAAAGACGAAAAATGTATTGTTTGGTTTCACGTAAAATTGACCTTTTTTCATTTTTAAGAATTGCCAGTGAACCAAAAAATGTGTCCAGCTCTAGCAATGAGCCAACTGTCACAATGTCTGACAATTGCAAACATTTTATTTGAACTAAGGATATTCAGGGGGCTGTGTCACTGAAGAGAATGACAATGGGATATGAACATTTCATCACTGGCTCTGTCGAAGCCAGGTTCCTTGTGGCTGGAAGCTCTTGCCATCTGCTGGCTTCTGGGTGGCCATTAGGAAACATGTTGGATGCATCTCCAATCCAATTCCCAGCAGCACAATTGTTCACATCACAAAATAACAGTGCAGTTTGTACGAAATGACCTTCATGTTGGCAGTCTCAATAGAGCAGCAAAGGAATGAACTCCTTTGTGCTTCTAAAGGTGCTTCTGCTGAGGCAGGGCTAGAGGAGGTTGGCAGAGTGGTAAATGGAAGTTTACACTGCCACTGCCTAAGGCTGCACCTCTCCAGACGGTACACACAGCCCTGGCAATTCTGGAGAGTGAAATCCAGCCACAACACTGAGTCCCGCACAACACAACATATTAATGAATGGAACAGGTCGCACTGCAGCATTTACATTGACCAGCCGATAGTGTTGTGTGTGACTGTAAATGGCTGGGGGACTGTGACAGGGTATACCAACCCCGTGAAAGAGTAGGCCACTGGGCCTGACCCGGAGTGACTAAGCCACCAGAGACTACTGGGGAGAGGTCAGTTTGTGGGGTGTCACCCCTTGGGAGAATCTTAGGGCAGGAGGCCCCATCACAGGGACTTACATAACAGCGCTGTGTATCTCATAGCACTTTGTACTGTAAGACCTTACCAGAACAGCTCAGAGTTAGAGCCTCCATGTTAACACTGGATTATCAGGTCGCATTACAATTCCCAAGCATGGTTCATTGCATTTGTTTTTCTGCCCACGCCACAAACAATTCGCTATTTTATAAAATAATTTCAATGCATTGTGCCCTGACTGGGTTAGCCTGTAGAGCAGACAGGCCCTAAGATGTAACCCGCTAAACAAGTGGAAAAATATGCAGTACCTGAGGTATGTAAAAGAGTCCCAGCAGGTTGGCCACGGCGGTGGAGATGCCAGAGCCGGTTGCCCCCACGACTGCAATGGTAGAAGGAATGTGGTCTGAGCAGTTGCAGAACTCATCCAGGTTCAGGGAATCTATCTTGTTCTGGGCCACAAAACTCAGCGTAGCCTCCAGGGCTTTGGAGACCGTGTTGCAGGTGTCAAATATCCTGTATCCCAAGGTCATGTTGGGAAGCAGAGTCGGGCTACTGTTTATTTCCTCTATGGCAAAAATCATGGCCTGCAGCCACCGGAAACCTCGGAAATTATACCTACAAATGAGAGAGAAATAACAATGAGAGAGAGTGGGAGGCAGAGACAGAGAGGCGAGACAGTGCAAGGGTGAGAAAGTGAAAGAGAGAGAGAAAGCAAGTGCACAGTGGAGCAAACAAGAAAGCATGTGAGCCAAAGAGAGATTGAGAGATTGTGTGTCTGTGTGTGTAAGAGAGAGAACTGGAGATTTTAGATACCGAAATCAAAAGCACAGTATAGTATGAAGAGCCCAGTCTTACACTCTATTGTATTTAATGGAAAGTTTTGCTATTGAATTCAATGAGTGCAGGGAAATGTCTCAGGAAGGGACTAAACTGCAAGGTTTGGATCAAAAATTCAAATGCCCATATTTGGCAGAAGGTTGGATTTGAGGACCTGGTTCTGATCCAGAGCTGGCTGTGGATTTCTAACCCATCCACAGAGTCTGGGATAGATGAAGGAGATCAAGCCTGGAGTGTGGGTTTGGGACCCTCTCTTGCACCTTGGAGATCTTACCAGGAAAACAAAACAACTACTTAGTCCCCAGGGCACATACGGGAAGAGATGGCTCAAGAGGGTGATCCTTGCTCACAATGACAGGACTGACATCCTGTGTGACATCCACACTTGGGATGAGATCAATTTCCTTCCTGACCAGGAGGAGCCTGTGGCTTTTTTCCTGATTAAGTGTTGAACAGGGATCACTTTGGGGTCAGGGGGATGTATTCCATACAAACAATGTTCTCAAAGTGCAGGGAGGCAGCCAGAATTTCCTGCACCTCACTCTTTTTTATATCTTTATAAATCTGTGTAAATGTTACATCCACTAACTATCATGTAAGCACTGCAATTATTAGCAAGCACTCACCTCACAAACATTGAATGGATTGCCCCTCGATGCCCATTTGAAGTAGGTCAGTATCAATATGCCTATTTTACAAATGGAGAAAAGGATGCACAATGTGGGGAAGTGACTTTTAAGTCTACAGATAAAATGGGAATTGTGGGTAAATTTTCAAAAGTGCCCAAATAGGACTTATACACCTACGTGTCTGACTTTTGAAAATCAGGCATAGGCTCCTAAATCACTTCGATGCTTTTGAAAAATGTAACCAAGTTCTAGGTCCGAACCCAATGCTTAAACTACGGTCTTCCCTAATGGTCAGGGAAGTTGCCTTTTGGTAGGAGCTTTGAAGCTTGCAACCAGTTTTTAACAGGCAACTCCATGCCTCATGGATGTCAGAGGATGTCATAAGACCTCTGCTACCACTCTGTTCTGGAATGGCAAAGCCGTATTTCAGAACTGCTTCTCAGCTCTAGATTGTGCTTCCATAATGACAGTCATTGTGGGTACATCTAGACTACAGAGTTTTTCTGAAGATAATTTCAGAAAAGCAGACACTTTTTTGGCATCCCTGTAAACCTCGTTTTATGAGGAAGAAGGGATGTTCTGAAGGAAGGTTTTTTTCATGACATTTGGCCCTGTGTAGATGGACCAAATGTTGGAAAATTCTCTTTTGGAAGAAAAGTGGAAAAATATACGCAAATTGCGGTTCGAATTTGCCTATTTTTTCCCGACTTTTCTTTGTAGTGTAGACACAGCCTGACAACCAGGGCACTAGGAACTCAAGTCTAGAGTGTCACCTGGGACTGGGGTGAGCATTATCCCTGTTACCTGCTAAACTTTCTCACTGAGAACATTAACATAAGAATGGCTTTACTTGGTCAGAGCAAAAGTCCATCTAGCCCAGTATCCTGTCTGCCGACAGTGGTCAATGCCAGGTGCCCCAGAGGGAGTGAACACAACAGACAATCATCAAGTGATTCATCCCCTGTTGCCCATTCCCTGTTTCTGGTAAGCAGAGGCTAGGGACACAATTCCTACCTATCCTGGCTCATAGCCATTGAGGGTACATCTACACTTGCACCCTAGTTCGAACTAGGGATGCAAATGTAGGCAACCGAAATTGCTAATGAAGTGGGGATTTAAATATCTCGCCAACGCATTACTCCACTGAACAGCTGTTTTGCAAGTGAAAGTGTGCACATTAGTTAGAATCAAACCCCTTGGTTCGAGCTAACACGCCCCAGCGCGCACTTTCAGTTTCGAAACAGCTGTTCAGCAAAGTAACACGCCGGCAAAATCATGCTAATGAAGCGTGGGATATTTAAATCCCCGCTTCATTAGCAATTTCAGTCGCCTACATTTGCATCCCTAGTTCAAACTAGGGTGCACTGGCGTGCGCACAGGGTATGCCCAGGCACACCCTAATATCTCGGGCCAGCTAGCCCGAGTCATGTTCGCACCCTGGGCCCCACCTGGCCCAGAAGCACCGTGCGACCCAGTAGCACAGTGTGGCGCCCCTGAGGCGCCCAGGTACGCCCCCGCCCAGCACAGCAGCACAGCACAGTGCCCTTGAGGCACCAGGGAGCGCTCCCACCCAGCATGGTAGCACCGCGCAGCACCCCTGAGGTGTCTGGGGGTGCCCCCGCCTGGCCTGGCAGCACGGCGTGATGCCCCGGAGGTGCTCAGGAGCACCCTGGCCCGGCAGCACAGCACGGCGCCCCTGAGGCACCCAGGAGCATCCCCGCCCAGCCCAGCAGCACAGCAAGGTGCCCCTGAGGCGCCCCAGGCTAGGGCCCGGCCGGCCTGTAGCTTGGGCCGGCTCTGACTCCAGCCCCGCAAATAGGAAGGCAGAAGCTGAAGGTAAGGTAAGGGAGGGGATGGGAGGAGAAGGGGGAAAAAAAGAGGAAGGGGTGGGAGAGGAAGGGGCTTGTGCTGAGGGGAGGGGGCAGGTCAGGAGAAGAAAGGGGAAGGCACCAAGGGACAGGGGTGCAGAAGAGACAAATGCCAGGGGGCCCATGTGCAGAAAATGAGGAAAAGGGCAGGAGGGGAGGTGTCAGTGGGAGGGGGGACAGGGTGATGCTGGGAGAGGGGAGGGTAAAGGCATTGGGGGTTAGAGGAGGAAGGGAGAGGTGTTGGGAGAAAGCTTGAGAGAAGGGGTGGGCATGAGGAAGGCAGGGATGGAGCAAGGCATGTGTCAGGGCATGGGCATGAGGGGATTAGGGGCAGAGGGTGGTGAGGGGGTGGGCATAAGGGCAAAAGGGGGCAGGGGCAGTGAGGGAAGGAAGAGGCACCAGGAGGGTGCAGGGCTAAGGGAAGGTGCAGGTGCCAGGGGATTCTGAGGATGAAGCAGAAGAACAGACACCTGCAGGGGAGGGACCAGCACCAGAGGAGAGAGGCAGGGCAGGTATGTAGAGGGAGGTGTTAGAAGAGGGGATGAGGAAGGGTAGCTCACATGATCAGAGTGGGGCTACTGGAGGAGTGGGCACAGGGGAGAGGGAAGGGCTGGTGGAAGGGGGCTGGTCTCAGGAAGGCTGAGGGCAGTGAGAAGGACAGGAGTCAGGACAGGAGAGGAGGATGAGGGGCTGGGGGGCAGCAGGCACCAGGGGAGCTGATGGAGCAAGGGGAGGAGACATGGTAGCAGAGGGAAAAGGTAGAGGTTTATGAGATATTTATTAATAACATGGGTGCCACAGTGGCACATCCAAACAAGCCACATGAACTCAGTACTGGTGCACAACACAAAATTCATTCTGGTCATGGGAGGAAACTGAGGGAACACTTCCCCCAGCTTCTCCGCCCCCCAAGTTAATGTCACTCACATTGGGTTAATGCAATTGCAGGATAGTTGCATGAGGGAGTTTGGTGGGGGCCAAATTAATCCCTGTGGGTAGGAGGATGGTGGAAAAAGTCCTTAGAGGGTGGTCACATGACACCATTTAATTCTGGTTATGTGCCCATCTTGCCCCCAGAGTGTTACCTCCAGAGGTGTGGCCAATGGGAGTCACGGGATATGGCCAATGTGGGTCAGAGGCATGGTGGTCAGGGGTGTGGCTAATGGGGGTCAAAGCACATTTAGAAAAAATTCTTTGGGTGCACACCCTAATGAAATGTGCTGCGCACACCTATGCTAGGGTGCAAGTGTAGATGTACCCTGAGGGACCTGTCTTCCGTGAACTTATCTAGCTCTTTTTTGAACTCTATTACATCTTGGCCTTCACAGCATCCTCTGGCAAAGATTTCCTTTCAAATTACTTTTAAACATTATTTCTAAACAGGACTTTTCCAGAATTGATGTGAGTGAATGGCTCAATGTGAACCTGGCTGGATCAGGTTGCATGACTCCAAGGTAAGCTTCATACACGATTTGTCCAAAGATCTTGGAGGGAGGTGCTTGCAAGGCTGAGGGAAAATCTAAAATTAAAATGCTGCTTCAGCACAGCTGTACTGATGCAATAGCACCATTGTAGCACGTAAGTGAAGACACTCTTACACACCAATGAGAGAGCACCTTTTGTTAGCTTATTTAATCCACCTCAACGAATGGCAGTAGCTATGTAGACAGGAGAAGCTCTTCAGCTGACAGCACTGCCTACACTGAGGGTTAGGTTGTCATAACTCACCGTTCTTCAAAGTGGGCTGCAGGCCCGCTTTTGGAAAGCCACAAGTAGGCCTTTGCCACTTTGTTTACATAAAGGAACTGTAGCTATGGAGTCTTGCAGTTCACATTAGCTCTTTTTCGCCATTTCCAGCCAAGGGGAGCTATGGGAAGTGACGTGGCTCTGGCTGCCGCTTTCAGGGGCTCCCCTTGACTGGAAATGATAAACCGGAGCCAATAGGAACTGCAAGGCTCCCTGGCTATGGTCCCGCTAGATAAACAACGCGGCGCAGGCCTGCTAGCGCCCAGGCCCACTTTGAGAAACACTGGTATAACTTAATCGCTCAAAGATGTTGATTTTTCATACCCCTGAGCAGTGTTCCCTTTAAGATGCACGGCAGGACAGCTTCCCAAGTGATTAATGAGCCCTGGCCAGTCAGAGGCTCAGGGCTCTGTGCATGGAGCTCACTGACTGGGCAGGTCTGATTAATCACCTGTGAAGCTGCCCTGCCACTTGGAGGGAAGATGGCCCCTGAGCAATGTAATGATAGCAGTACAAATCTATAGTATAGGCCTGG